TGAGGCACAAAATGAGCTAAACAAGCCAGAGGGAAAACGAAAAGCAGAGGTCTGAGTCTCACTTTATTATCCTATCCGGTCTATTTGCTTTTAATATGTTTATTTCTTGATTTTGTGACTAAGTTTCAAAAAATTCTTAACGGGGTAGCTTGCATGGACAGGAAGCACAGGGAAACTCACCACCTAATTCCTTTCTGTCTCTTCTGAATGGTCTTGGAATATTTGGTACTAGTGTGCTTGGTTCGCTCTATGCTTTGGTTCAGAAAGAGAAGAAAGCAACAAATGAAGCCCTAGAATCAGTAAGTTATCACATACCTTCAATGTCATTTTTCTTTACGATATAAATGGCTTTGAGTATTAAAGAAGCTATGGAAAGCATTCAAATAAGAAAAGCCATTTCCTCGTTTTGGATACCCGGACCTTTTTCAACCTATGTTACTTGGACGCCAGTGTGAATGTTGGATAGAGGCATTTTGATGAAATGGGTATGTTCAATTTCTTTTTTCTATGTTCTTTTATTTGTTTGGAGGGTTCTTGACTTAAAGAAAACGAAGAGTTGGAACAACATGGTTTTCAACAATATTACCGTATTTCCAGTCCTAAAACTACCCTTCCCCCTACTTCCCTACCTCCTGTCAAGAAAAGAAAAGACAAATAGCAAAAGATTAGATATAAAAGTCTTCTTTAGGTGTTTTCCGCTTAATGTAATGTTTTGCCTTTCTTAATTAATTTCGACTTGCATTACCATGGATTCGTTTAAATTAATTTTTGCATTGATTGGTACACACAGATAAAGATCAAATTGCAAGAAAAGGAAGCTGCAATTGTCTCATTGAAAAAAGACTTTGAATCAAAGATGCTAAAAGAAAGTGAAGAACAAACCAAGCAACTCAAAAAAACAAAGGAAGAACAACTGTCTTTATTGGATCAACTAAATTCAGCTAACAATACAATTGCAGGCTTAGGGCAGGAACTTAAAAATGAGAAGAGGTTAATGCAGGACCTTAAAGTTCAAATAGACACTCTTCAAAGCAATATCTCGAAGGCCAGGGACGAAAAAAGATCTCTTGAACAAGAACTGAAGGAAAAGCTTGATTTTGTTGATGTCCTACAAGAAAAAGTTAATTTGTTCAGTTCAGAACTCAATGATAAGGAAGGTAACGTTCAAAAGCTCAGCTCATCCCTTGCTGAAAAAGAATCAGAGTTAAAGAACCTTGAAACTACTTACAAGAAAACTAAGGAAGAGCTAGAGAAAGCAAGTTTCGAGATTGAAGGTTTGAAAGAAGAACTGCTGAGAAATCAAAGTGAACTTGAATCAAAAAATTCTACAGTGGATGAGTTAAATGCAAGGATAAGTTCGTTAACTGTTGAGAGAGATAATTCTAGGCAGGAATTTGGTGCTCTTCTGGAGGATTACAATAATCTGAAAGTGGCTTCTGAAAATAAGATTGCAGCAGATGCTAAGCTTTTGGGGGAAAGAGAAAAAGGAATTCACCAGCTGAAGGAAAAACTTGAGATTGCCCTAAAATCTGTAAGTGAAAACAAAGCAATTGTTGCGTATTTGAACAAGGAAAGAGAGAACCTAGAGAAAGAACTTGAGATGGAATCGGAACTTGTAAAGAACCTGAAAGAAGAACTACTAATTGCCGAGGAAACTCTTGCAAAGTCCAAAATTGAGGCTTCTGATCTGTTCGAGCAACTAAAGAGCTCAAGAACGCATTGTAAAGAACTCGAGTCTGATATTTCAAAGGTCAGGTCTGAGTTCGATGAAGCTAAAGTAAGACTGCAGGGTAGCCTTGATGAGGCAAAACAAAGTGGCGAAGTTCTTTCCAGTGAGCTCACAGCTACAAAAGAGCTTCTGAAGAAAACTAGGGATGAGCTGCAGATTTCTTCTCATGAGCTGACTTCTATGACAGAAAACAGCGACAGCCTTCAAAGGGAATTGGTGGATGTGTATAAAAAGGCAGAAACCACAGCCCATGATTTGAAAGAAGAGAAGGTGAATGTTTCTTCTTTAAGGAAAGAACTCCAGGCTTTGGAGAAGCAGATCTCAAAGGACAAGGAAGCAAGAAAATCACTTGAAACAGACCTAGAAGATGCTACCAAGTCACTTGATGAGGTGAACCAAAATATATTGAAACTTTCTAAAGATCTCGAAAGTGCTAATGCTAAAATATCTGGTCTCGAGGATGAGAAAATGGTTCTCTACAAAACACTCACAGAGCAGAAGAACACATCTAAAGAAGCCCGAGAAAACATGGAAGATGCTCATAAGCTTGTGATGTCACTCGGCAAGGAAAGGGATAGTTTGGAAAAGCAAGTGAAGAAACTCGAGGATGAATTGGCATCCGCTAAGGGAGAAATACTACGGTTGAGGAGTCAATTAAATTCGTCCGAAGTTCTGGTTAACGATAAGCCTCAGCAGAAAAGCAAAAGTGAAGCTAAACCGAAAGTTACAGTCACCGAGAGGAAAACTACCAGGAGGAGAAAAGGCAGCTCCGAATGAGGTTCACCGGTAAACACCCTGAGCACTAATATATTCTCATCATGGATCTCGTTGTTGGTTGATAATTTTTAGCCATACATTGTATTGTTGTTATATAAATCTGACATCGAGTATTCTACATAGGCTGTAAATGAACCGAACGCACACGAACGGAGGTATGTTCATGTTCGTTACGAAAACAAACATAAACGAACAAAATTTTTTTTGTTCATGTTCGTTTATCAAGGAATATAACTTGTTCATGTTCGTTCATTTAATAAATAAACGAACATAAACGAACACGAACATTAATGAACACGAACATAAACGAACATAAACTTTGGAGACCCTACCTTCTATTGTTCTTTCATGAAAAATAGTCGACAATGCAAATCAACCAAATCTACAGTGATAAATAGCGTAAGAGTTGATTAGCAGTGATGAAATGTTTGAAGATATCAAATATTTCGATCGATCTTTTAAAGATATTAAATGATTCACACGACTTTAATTTAACGCTATAACATTTATCTTAGTGGTCCATGATTACATATGAACAATCATTTTCTACTACGTTATTCTAATAAATTCACTGGCTAAAAGTTTTGTGACATCAATGTCAGACTTTAGTGAGGTTTGTTAATAATGGTCATTTCCGTTGGCAGAGTAAAAAATTTAACAGCATAAAGATTTCGAACGGTACAATTGGACTACAGGGCAATAACATAGATCCGAAATCCCTTCGATGCTACATATTGTAACTGATATTATTGCTAAACCACCATTCAAAATTTTAACGCACCTAAAGTCTACTCTACAACTAAAGGTCACACAAGAACTATGAAAACAAAAGTTCATTGTCAAAATGTATTTTCTACTTATTAATGGGTTCTTCCTGAAAAACCCATTACTTCTGCTATTACACTCTTTTTCAGAAATTGCATAGAAACCTGTGTTTTGTTTTATGACAAATTCTATATATTTTTCTCTTTGCTGATGCTCATATCTTCCGATTATTACATTTATCTTCCCATCTATTTCTAGAAAGAAGTATAATGTTTTCTTGAGTTTTAGATGTGAAGATACCCACAATAACTTTACATATCAACTATTAAACCAAATAAAACAAAGAAAGAGATGAAAACAGACCTGTAAAACTTCAGATTGCACTATAATATAACTTGTTTTGAAGCTTCCAGCGATCGTCTCTACTCTCCAGTGAACATTAGGGTTTGGGAAAAAAAGGAGAAAATAAATATAGGAACATAAATTGGTCATCAGAATATTAGATTAATTAATATTTTTAAGATACTTACAAATTGGTCACCAAAATTGATTTAAGAATATTTGGTTTATATTGCACTATAATATAACTTTTGCATGTTTTTATATTGATCTGACACCGATCGTGTTTAAATTAAGGAGCTTGGTTGATTCGTCAAAAATCAATGCATTATTTAACAGTCACAATAAAAATCAATTACTATAGGTACTAAATAATACAATTAACTGAATCCATCAAATGGTATTAGTGATTAGTGGAAGTATTGTTCTCTCTAGAAATTTTAAATTCAAGCATAAAATATAAATTACTAAAAATGACCTTTCTGAATTATGATGTTCACTTGGGACAATCACACTTGAAATATAAATTTACATTAAAAATTAAAGACCATATTGCCCATGCATGATGGAGAATGTTATTTAATTATTTTAAAAAAATTAATGACTTATTCAACTAGTTTATAAAAACCAACCTTTACAGGTCTTTAAAACATCAGCCCTATTTGAGCATTTTAATTTGGATAACTGTTCTCGACCATGATGGGAATCGAACCCACGACTAATTGAACACAATAATTTGTTAATAAATATTTAACCTGAAACGGGAAAAATGAAAACGTAAATTTAGTTTTATTTTGTATTTTAATAGCAATAAATCCAAACCTTCATTGTGACCTGTGTCAATCGTTTATAGTTCTTTGAATTGAACAAGAAGTTTTGGGAAAACAAAAATTGCAGAATTCGTCAAGCTAAACGGTTCCTCATCTTCTATTGTATCGATCTTGATGTTCAGTATTTAATCTTCACTTTCTTTCTCTCTCTTGTTTTTTTTCCTTTCATCTTCTAATTGCTGTGTCAAGCGTTTATAGTTCTTTGAACCAAAATCTCAATTTTATATAAGTTAGCTGGAATTGGGAAATATACATATATATATATATATATATATATATATATATATATATATATATATATATATTATTAATTTATCTGATAAATAACAGCCGGTGTTTCTTATCAGATTCGGGTTTGTTCCCCTCCGGACTCGTTGATTTACCAGATCCGAGTTCACCGAGTCTCGATTTTGGGTACATCACAAAGTGAAAAAAATTTAACGCCAAACTCAGTTTTAACATTGAATTTTCCTTGTTTAAAAGCTGGGTTTTTCTTTACTTTCAAAAGGTTTGATCCATCTAATTTTCTAAGTATTTGTATTCGGTTCAAAGGATTCAATTTTTTTAGGATCTGACCCTTGGATATAAGTAACATTTAAAATCTTACTGAGTGGCTGATTTGGGAATTCTTTGAGGTTCTTGCTGACCTCTGGTATTTGGGAATTGAAAGGGTTAATTCAAATTGCAGTCATGTTCTATGGGGCGATGGTATGGGATCCTTGGCTTATTGTAGCCCAAATTGTTTGCCTCCAATGCTTATACTACCTCACTCTTGGAGTCTTCTTGTCCTTTCTTGTCGGTACTCAAGTTTCTCGTATGAGCTTGGTCTATTTCTTTGACTTCTCTACTCTTACATGCTCCACCCTTGTCGGCTGGTGTGTCATTGCTTCGTTTCTGCTTAGCGCTATTGCAGGGTGAGAAACTGAGAATATAGTTCCCGCCTTGACTTTTATCTGTGCTTCATTTGTATGATTATATGCCTAACTTTTGAATGCATTTATGTAAGAAATGGTTAGTTTCTATCTTATGCTTTTTGGATATACTAATTACTTAGATTTGCTTGAATATGAATAATTATAGACATAAAAGAATGGTAGCATTAAAGTTAACTCTTATTTTGTTCAACTATGGCCTAACCCTTGCTGTGTACCTCAAAGCACCTGCAGTTGATTTTGATTGAACTAAATAATCCCCATTTCTTTTGTTTTATCGATGGATATAGGTTGCCGGACTTGTTTTGATCTACATACAGATTATGTTGCACACTTGTGATGTTGAATAATGGTCTTTCATTATTTTTCTGATGTCTATTTATGATACTAAAAGTAGGATTTAGAGATCTCTGCACATGACTTTCGAAGCTGAAATGCAAAGTTGACTGAGTCGAACTATTTTTTAGGATATTGTAGTTAAGCTTGAAAGTAATTGACCTCCCTGCCCAAGTCATTGAATCTGTTATTTTTGCCCAAGTCATTTAGTTATGAATTAATTGGCCAGAGTTAAATATTACTTATATGATGATATTGCCTCCATTGAAACTTGGAAGCATACTGTACTAATAATCTAGATATTTTCTAAACTTATCTCATTTTAACTTGTGTTTTTGTTTCATTTGGATCTATGCAGAGCTGGGTACATGATTTATTTGATTGAAAGGGCAAAGAAGTGCTTAGATTTTTCAGCCACCCTCTATATTATCCATCTTTTCATATGCCTTATATATGGAGGTTGGCCTTCCTCTGTTACCTGGTGGGTTGTGAATGGTACTGGAGTTGCAGTGATGGCTTTACTAGGTGAATATTTATGCATTAAATGGGAACTGAGAGAGATTCCCACCCGATACAGATCAAGTAAGAGATAATTCAGATCGGTGCTAAAATGAGTTCTCAATTTTGATATGAAATAAAAATATATTTTTTCTTTATTGGTTTATATCGGTGACATTGATGGAGGGTCGAGGGATTTCCAGGAAAAAAGTTTTCCCCCCCCTATTTTAATGCTTAACCCCTAATTGTTAAAAGAAAAGAAGATCCCTTCTCATTTTAGTTATCTTATCTAAGAAAATGTAAAAAATAAAAAGATTCAGTTCTTCAGCTAAAGTTAAAACATAAAACAGAAATGGTTCAAATACATGTTCAGTCATTGACATAGTACATTGCTAGTTTTCTGGGTTGGAGTTTAACATGTCATATTATTTACATTTTTTCCCTTTCAGTTCATATATATATATATATATATATAATCATAATATCTGCTGAATTTTAAACTACTCCATGCAGATATTTGACTAACAAAGAATCGTGTGTGAAGAAATCCCTTGTGGCTTCAAAATTCATGGTATTTCTTCACTTCTTTGGAAGGGCTGAAGGATATAGTTCTCTAGATATGAAGTCTAATCTGTAATGAGAAGTAGCTTTATTTAAATAATCTATGTCCAGTGCTTCTGGGTATAATACGGAAGTGCTTCTAAAGATGGCAGAGAGCAACCATAAAAGCTTGGGATTAGTGGTGCTTAAGTGATATGAAGCTGGAGCACAAAAGGCTGGGTATGCATTCATTTGAGGGAGATCTTAGAATACAATTTTAGGTCATTTTGCAAAAGATGATTCACTGTATCGGATACTGTTTTCTGATTTTATCTTTCATAATCGAGTAGCTTTTCATTATTTAGTAGAGTTGTTTGGTTGAGTGTTTATTACTGATTGGTGATATCTGATAAGTCCGATGTGGTGAGGATCCAGATGAATCCAGTGTGTTTCTCCTCCAGGTCGAGAAATTTAAGTTTGTGATGCACTGTCCATTTGTAGAAAATTATTTAAAGGAAAATGACAACTTTTTGGAGACTTTCCTATACAAGAACCATTCTCGCACGTTATCTTGTATTCTTAAGGAGTCTATCCTTCATTGATCACTTTAATAAGGGATCGTTTCTTTCTGTTTTGTTTTGGGTAAAAGTTGGTTCAGTTGTCGTTGATACAAAATTCATTTAATTTATTTTGCTTGAAACAAATATTGGAAAAATATCAAAATCATTTACTTTTTTGAAAAGTCTTCACTTATATAACATGAGCTTGACCATTGAAAATATACCTCCTGGTCTCTGGTTGTGGAAACTCATCCTGATCACACCTCAAAGAGGTTTGATGGAAGGGTTCAAGAGAAGTGAGTGCAACCCTTACCTCTTACCAATTTCCCAGAGCTCATCAGCACAGTGTAGTGTATTAAAAGAGTTAAATTGGTAGCTAATAGGCGCTTTAAGTGTTAATGTCTAGAGAGTTCAATTATTTAATTTCTTTGATTACTCTATTAAACCAACGCATAACGTTTAATTGACTTGTGGTTTTCTCACGAAATGACAAGGAAATGGAGACGAAGCAAAAAGGTCCTCTCTATGCTAAACCATTTTCATGGCTGCCAGAGGGTCTAAAAGGGTTAGTCAAACGTTTGCAACTTTCTACAAATCTTATCATGGTTGAGGCTTCCATGAAGCTGAGATGTCTCCCACTGCTTCCCCTACTGTGAGATAAAATGAACTCGTTCCAAACGACTCTAAGGCTTTCGACTGATGCAATTTCTCCATCACACTTCCCACTGGATTTACCAACACTAGCTGAAAATGACCAAAAAAACAAAGTGTCAAAACCTCATCCTAATGTTTGAAGTGAAAATTTATTGGACAAACATTTACCTGAAGTGATCTTTTCTCCAGTATCTTTCTTAGTTCACATAAAATGTCGATGCCACTTGAATCAATTGCTGTGACAGCTGATAAAATTCATTCTGTTAGCCAAATACAGGGGATGCTTTTTTTGGGTACAAAATATGGTAGCTTTATCTTACCCGTCATGTCAATAATTATACATTTCAAATTGCTTTCATGGTTTTCATTAATCCATTCTTCCTCCTCTCGAATCCATCTTAACATCCTATAACAAAAGAGATTCCTTCAGTCAGTCAACGGTTTGCTGAACAAGATGCTGTACTATAATCTGCTAGACTGATAAAACATTTCAGCCTGGCAATCTATCATATGGTTTCTTGGACTATCAATGGTAACATTCAAAGGAGGCGTTTATGGAGTTACCTTTCTTGTAGATAAGTTGAATTTGCGAAGTACATTGGAGATTCTATTGCCAGTATGAGGAATGAAGGGACCCTTGAAGCTTCTTTGTATCTGTGGAGGTTTTGGTATATCTGTGTTCGTGGAATATTTCCCAACACCACAGTGTTTGGCCTGGTGACATGCAAGAGAATCTTGAATACAGAAACTCCAACCTGCAATATCAGGCACCCAGCAAAATTTTTTGTTACTTGTTATTCTGCGTTGATGCTTTCAACAATAAAATACTAGGAGAAGATGAGATGAAAGCAGTCATTTGGAAAAGTTTAAAAATGCTTACTGCAATGGCAAGTCCCTGAGGAACAGAGATGAACAGAACCCCAAAGAAGGAAGAAATACAAGCCAAGAAATCAAGTTTATCAACTTTCCACAACTTGTATGCCCCCCGGTAATCAATAAGCCCTATCACTGCTGTTATGATGATGGCTGCTAAGATGACATTAGGGGTGTAATAAAATAGTGGCATCAGGAACAGCAGAGTCACAAGCACAGCTGCAGCTAATACTATGTTAGAGACTGCTGTTTGAGCTCCAGCATTGTAATTGACTGCAGATCGAGAGAACGATCCTGAAAAAGACATGTCAAATAGATTAGTTTTGGATGCAGTAAAGTATGTTTTCATATTGGAAGTAGTGTGAAAGAATCAACACCTGTTGTAACATAACACGATGTGCAAGAACCAGCCATGTTCATGAGACCGATTGCCATCATTTCTTTGTTTCCATCAACTTGGTAGTTCTTTAGAGAAGCAAATGTCCTTCCCACGGCAATCCCTTCCTGAAAAACATTATAAACCATCAGGATATTAGATCGAGAAATCATACAGAAAAAAAGATATCAAGAACATGGTGGAAGTCCCATGCAAATCCACAATCATTTACAGGAAAGATAGGCCATCCATAAGATGTTTTGGAATATTATGTTTTTTGTTGTCCGGTAATGTTCATTAACAAAAAGGGTTTCAGTTATCGAATAAGATATCAATGACAGTTCTGGTTAAGGAAAGCTTACAGTGAGGGACAGGATCCCAGTGACAATTCCAGTCTTAATAGCTAAAGCCAGATGTTGGCCATTGAAGAATAGCATGTTCAATGAGGGTGGATTCAAACCCTTTTGCAAGTGCCCAATCTGTGAAATATAATGGGAAAGACAACTTAGATTTGGAGAACTTTTTCAAAAAGATCTTTTACATAAAAGTAGAGAATAAGAATTATTTCTTACATATGATATTCCATGAGCTTTTGATCTAATGCAGAAAACTATGATCGTTGAGAGAATTACGGACGTTAATGGGGCAGCTGCTGATACCCAGAAAAGCTTTGGTTTTCTGATGCTCTGTACGAAATTTTCAAATATCAAAATTTTTAAAGAACTAAGCTAGAATCTGGACAAACTTTTTGTAGGTAAAATAGAGATGCTTACAATATGTCTTGCTGTCAACATAAGGAACAGGAAGCCAAATCCCATTACAATAGTTTGCCAGGACCACTGCAGATGATTTTAAACCAATATTACACCGTTAGATAATTTTGTTACTTTTCGAAAGTAGAATGTCTTTCTCTACATGAAAGCATGCATAATGCGAATAGAAGGCATCTCATATACATAAAAGGCACATGCCCTGCAGTCATTGATTCTGTGGTTTAGTTTATAGGACCAAATCAAAGGGATAGTTTTTCATTCATCAAAGTCATGCCAAGCAATGATTATGGAAGCATTTGTAAGTTTCCCCTTTCCAAAAGAATAATCACTGGTTTCTTGGCCTAAAAGCAAGAAGAGCTCTTCCAACATGCTACAGTGACTAACACCTTGTTATTTTAAAAAAGAAGAAAATTAATAAAAGGCAGTTTAAATTTCTTTCCCTTGTTGTATCCACTTACCTCGTTTTTGTGCTCGAATACAGAGGTCAAAACAGGTATGATTTGCATCTTGTTTGTGAAATGAACTATTCCAAGCAACCCCTTTAGCTGCTGTAATGACACAATGACTGCTGCACCTGCCATGAATCCGAGAAGTGTTGCCTTCGATAGAAAATCGATAACAAAGCCTAACCTGTAAATCAAAACCAGAATCATAAAATTCCTAATAGATAAAAGAAGCAGGTTTTGTTTCTATACTCGATTGTGTTCAAGAATTCTTATTTTCTGTGTAAATGATGATTAAGGTTAATGAACACCCATGTTTAATAGATACTAAGGCAGAACCAATATGCATGTCACACTTTGTTCCATAGTGAAGGAATCTTAAGCTTGTTATATTTTCGTTTTTAGAACGTTAAAAGAGTACCTTAAGAGACCCAAAGATGCGTGGAATACACCAGCGAAGAAGGTAGCAGTGAAGGCCAATTGAAGGTAGAGATTAGGCTCATCAGTAGGGGAGACACTTCCACTGAGCATTGTGCCCATCACTAAGGATGCTATGGACACTGGACCAACAGCAAGATGCCTAGAACTCCCTAGGACAGAATAAATCAAAGGGGGAACGAAGCTTGAATCTGCATGAATTGATAGAAATTCATATCAATTAAAGCTATTAATTTGTATTTATCTAACATTGCATTCAACTTGGAGATCAGAATTCTTTTGGTTCTGATACTAACATAAACCAACGATAGGTGGCAAATTTGCAAGCTTCGCGTAACTGATTCCCTGCAGTCCATAAAAGCAAAATAGATTACCATAAAAGAGTAAGGAGTTTTTATGGTGAAAGAATTTTGATCTGATCCAAAAACATAATTTACTGCCATATCTGACAATCAGAATTGGGGGAGGGGTCATCTTTAGATAAGTTCTAGACAATTATTTTATCATGAAAAATGTAAACAAGAAACAAAAATTCATTTCACGTTTCTGATGATGTTAAAGAAACTGGAATATATTAAAAAACACGTCCACTGATATTCATTAGTGTCGGTTGATGATTTTACCTGTGGGATTGCAAGGCTAGCAATGGTGAGACCAGATATGATATCAGACCTAAACAGACGGAGATGGTAGTCAAGACCCCACTGGCATATTGGGAACAGAGACTTGACTCCCAGAACCAGCTTCTTACACCACGTTTGGTTCTTGAATCCGTAGAGAGGATCATCGGGGAAAAATATTTCCGAAAGTCTGTGTTTGAGCTTCTGGAAAGTGGTCTTCTTCGGCGGCATGCAAACACTGTGTATCTCCATAGTTGCCACCTCCGGTGCTGGCATTGGTATCTCTGTAGAAACCTTAACGGTTGTGTTTCCAGTATGGCCAAAGAAATCTTCAACCCTGTTGGAGTTCAAACCCATTTCCCTTCCCCTTTTTCTTTCACCAATAACTGGAATCAAAGAGGCTTTTTCTTATTTTTCTGGGTGATGGTTTGTTGTGGATGGGCATTGGCTCTGAATTTATAGACAAGTAGAACTTGGAAGGGTATCTCAGAGGGCAGTTACGGTGCAGTTTGTTGATATTTGTTTGACTCTCGTACTTATCATTTGGACGCTTTTAGAAAATGAAACAGACCGCGTTCAGAAATTGTGTTTTCCC